GTATAGTTGAGATTGAGGCTCTGTCTGTACTTATATATATATGTGCACCGGCACCACATCAATACAAAGAATATTGTATTGCCAAACTATCTCTCTACAACTCTAATGTTGCCGAATTCTCGTTCCTTTATGTTTCTATTTATCAGACTACTGGTATTTGGTTGTGTGCATTTTAATTATGCAGAGGTCGAGTGATACTCTACATTTAAGATAATAAAAGCCCCTTTTATCGAAAAAAACGACGAGACGAACCAACAAACGCACACGTAAATTCATGGTGTACGTATGTACATGCAAAATTTTGCAGTAACCATGCAAATCCATGGATCGCACACGTAAAAGTAGCTTTACAATAATCTACTGGACTGTAGCATGAATTGTGCATATCGAGAGGCAAATTAACGAGTAAAAAAAGATCTAGAAAATACAAGTAATCATCATCTCAGGCTCAGGCTCCGAGCTCGATCGATCTTGCACTTGCAGCTGTATCATCATGCATGCATGCATGCATCTTTAATTTCTGCTTTCGTAACGAACGTACGTAGTAGTGTTGATTGGAATGGTTGGATTAGTAGCTGTAGTTCTTGACGAACATGCCCTCCTTGGCCTCGGCGGCTTCGCCGTCGCTGGTGTACTTTCCGAGCTGCGCGAGTGAGTTGGCCTTGGCACGCAGCAGCAGCGCCTCCTGCGCCGCCTTGACGTTCTCCGGCCGGCCGCCCCACGTCTTGAGGCACGTGTTCTGCAGCGCCCTGGCGTAGGAGAAGGAGACGTGCCACGGGTTGGGCCCCTGGTTCATGGCGTTGAGGTTGAGCGTGGCCTCCACCTCGGACTGCCCTCCCGACAGGAACATAATGCCGGGGACGGCGGGCGGCACGCGGCGGCTGAGGAGCTTGAGGGTGTAGTCGGCGACCTGCTCCGGCGTGGCCCTGTCCTTGCACTCGGCGCCGGGGGTGACCATGCTGGGTTTGAGCAAGATGCCCTCGAACATGACGTTGTTCTGGGCCATCTGGTAGAAGGTCTCGGCCCACACCTTCTGCGCCACCTCGAAGGTGCGCTCGATGCCGTGCTCCCCGTCCAGCAGGATCTCCGGCTCCACGATGGGCACCAGACCGTTGTCCTGCGAGATGGCGGCGTAGCGGGCGAGGCCCCATGCGGCCTCCTTGACAGCCAGCTCGGAGGGGCCGTTGGGGATGCTGACCACGGTGCGCCACTTGGCGAAGCGGGCGCCCTGCTGGTAGTAGGCGGCCTCCCGGGAGGCGAGGCCGTCGAGACCCTGGCACCAAGACTCGTCGTTGGAGCCGGTGAGCGGCACCAGGCCCTTGTCCACCTTGATCCCGGGCACGATGCCCTGCTCCACCAGGATGTCGACGATCTTCTTGCCGTCGACGGTGGACTGGTAGAGCGTCTCCTCGAAGAGGATGGCGCCGGAGATGTGGTTGCCGAGGCCAGGGACGGAGACCAGCAGCGTGCGGAACGCCTGCCGGTTCGCCTCTGTGTTCTCCAGGCCGATCGAGTCGAGGCGCTTCCCGCAGGTGGCGTTGGACTCGTCCATGGCCAGGATGCCGCGCCCCGGCGACGCGATGGTTTTCTGCACGTGCGTGCAAAGCAGCAGCAGCATGTCAGTCCAGTCCAGTCCATGAGTGAATTATACTAGTAGTACGTGTAATTCGGCCGGCGAGAAGCTGCCTGCAGCGTACGTACCGCGGTCTTGACGAGCTCATCGTCGTAGGCGCCGGCGCGGACGACCATGGACACCCTCGGGGCGGCGACCTGGCGCGCGACGCCCCATTCGGCCTTCTTGGGGAGGAAGGAGGACTTGAGGAGAGTAGCAGATGCCATGTCCTTTCTTCTTCTTCTTCTTACTTTCTTGCTTGCCTGCCTGCCACTGACCTCAAGCTCAAGGTGCTAGCTATCCTCTCTGCCTCGCTGAGGCCAATGGACTCGTATTTGAATGGGTGGCACGAGGGGATATGAGGTGTGGGGTGGAGGTTTGGATGGCTCAATGTCTGGCTGTCCGTCCATCGCCCCAGTCATCACCCCTTTTTTAATGCACAATTGCAATTCCCCATGTTTATGTGCACCGTGTAAAACAAAAAGGCAAGAAAATCCCTGCACCTCATCCATCCGTGGGAACGCTGCTGGCCTCAAGATGGCTGACATCATCACCTGCGGCCGCGTTTCACCGGTAGCTTATGCCACAGATTTCTCGCATCCATGGATAGATAGATAGATAGATTCACCCCGCCCGGGGTGGTTGCCATGCTTCCGCTTGGCTCTTTTTCTTTTCCGGATGGATCTCAGCAAGTTGCTGTTGGAAATATGAGCAAATTACTACGAAATTTAATTCGAATAAACAAAAAATAAATCATGTCCACAACAGCAGAGATTAAATTAATCATGCGAATTAGCATAGCAGATGAACATATCACATCTAGGGCACATACTAGAAGCATGAATTCTACCACGATCTCGAACAGGAAGGATAGAATCACATACGGTGCAGCACCGCCGGCGTTGACGTTGTCGCCCATGTCGTCGAGGACGAGGTTGCCGAGGTCGGGGAAGAAGTCGTCGTTCGCGAAGTCGTCGCTGCCAGCAGTCGCGCGAGTGCGCTCCCCAAAAACCTGATCGCCCCTCTCCCGTACAGGATCACGAGAGGCGGGGTTCCAGAGGACTGCTGTCCCTTCTCGCGGTGCACGCCGGAAGGAGGAATGGAGAAGACTTGCTTGGCGGCGCAATGATCTGGAACGGTGGTGAGAAACCATACGAAGCGGCGGCGGCTAGGGTAGACATATGCCTGACTATATAGTGCGGGCCGGATAGGTCGTGGGAGTAAATCCCACGTCCGAGTCGTCACGATCCAAAAGAATTGGAAACGGTTTAGTAATTAACGCATCCGTTAATTATTAATTAATGACTCATTAATTTTCCCATGCAGCAAAAATATAGACAACGTGCATAGCTCTGTCCCCGGCTCGGCTCAATCCCGCAATCCGCGGCGCGTCGTGACAAGGTGTGGCGTGGCGTGGCGTGGCGTGGCGTGGCATGGCGAGAGCGAGGAGGAGGAGCGCGCGTGTAGGTCTCCTCTTCTCATGCTCATATAAGTGGTAGAAGAGCTCACCTTATAAAGAGGTGCAACTCTCTCTCAACTTCCGGGGTGGGACTAAACTTTAGCCTCACTCACTCCACTCACATGTGTGCATGAATGGGCCAAGAGAATTTCAGAATTTTCGTTGGGTTTTGGGCCAAAGGCCTACTAGCAAAATTCCAACAATCCCCCACAAAGTCTCATTGGCACATCTCATCATTTAGATCCGAAACATTGTTTTATATATCGGTGCTTAGTGGAGACTGTGAAGTTGAACTTCCACTTAGAAATTTATGCTACAATAGATCACAACTTGAATAGTGGACTATGCCTTGAACTACAAGTTTTCTGTGAAACTAGTTTCACACAAATTCTTGACCGATACTGGGCTGCCGCAAGGCTTCCCCGCGGGTGGAGCGTATACGTCATACTCCAGGGCCTTTCATGAATTTATTAGAGAACACCTAATTCTCACAGACTGCGACGTTAATAGTCAAATTCATATAGGTGTGTTTCTCAGAAGATGTCTTGCAGGGCAACATCTCTGCTTACCTGAATAAGCTACTTGGAACACATTAAGATAAGTATCAACCTGCCATGCAGATCAGGAGAGTATTGCATCTTCACGGAGTGGGATAATTAATACAGGGATACTCTCCTCCCAGCTGACCAACAGCTTGTCTCCCACTTCTACTTCACGGGATCTCCGATCACATAGAGTGGGTTACCACTATGGACAACTCATGCGGTGGGTCTCAAACCCATCTCCATCGATGCATTATCTATCACATTACGTGATAGACCCTTTGTGAAGGGATCTGCCAAGTTTTTCGACGTTTGGATATAATCCAACATAATAACTCCGGAGTTCCTCAATTTTCTGACAGATTTTAGTCTCCTCTTCACATGCCTTGAGGACTTCATATTGTCCTTAGAACTGTTTATCTTGACGATCACAGTTTAATTATCACAGTTCATTAGGATAGGGGGTATTGGTTTTTCAACCATAGGTAAGTCCATCAAGAGTTCACGAAGCCACTCTACTTCAACAGTGGCAGTGTCTAATGCTGTGAGTTCTGCTTCCATAGTTGACCTCGTTAAGATGGTCTGCTTGCAAGACTTCCAGGAAACAGCGCCACCACCAAGTGTAAAAACATAACCACTTGTGGCCTTAATCTCATCAGCATCAGATATCCAGTTTGAGTCACTATAACCCTCTAGTACCCTTGGATACCGGTGTAGTGAATCTCATAGCTCGCGGTGCCTTTCAAATAGCGCATAACTCTCTCAAGCGCATGCCAACGATCATCTCCCGGTTTTGACACAAACCGACTCAGTTTGCTCACAGCAAAAGAGATGTCAGGCCTCGTGGCACTCGCCAAATACATAAGTGAGCCAATAATCTGAGAATACCTCAGTTGATCTCTAGCAATCCGTCGATTCTTTCGAAGCAACACACTAGCATCATATGGAGTTGGAGAAGGCGTGCAGTCGCTATACCCAAAACGACTCAAGACCTTTTCCACATAATGAGACTGAAGCAGTGTGATCCCACCATTCTCATCTCTCAACAGCTTGATGTTTAAGATAACATCAGCTACTCCTAGATCCTTCATCTCAAAATAGCAAGATAAGAAATCCTTAACCTCCTTGATTAAATCAAGTTTGGTTCCAAAGATCAATATGTCGTCGACATACAAACAAAGAATAACTCCTTCGCCCCCACCATAGCGATAGTACACGCACTTGTCACCATCGTTTACTACAAAGCCGGCAGTAGTTAATGTTCTTTCGAACTTCTCATGCCACTCCTTAGGAGCTTGTTTAAGGCCATATAAAGACTTTAATAACTTGCACACCTTTCCTTCCTGACCAGGTACTACAAAACTATCTGGCTGATCCATGTAAATTTCCTCCTTCAACTCTCCATTGAGGAAAGCCGTCTTAACGTCCATTTGATGAACGAGAAGACCATGTGAGGCAGCCAGTGATAGTAGCACCCGAATTGTGGTCAGTCTAGCCACGGGTGAGTAAGTATCAAATAAGTCTTCACCTTCTTTCTGGTATAACCCTTGGCCACAAGCCGTGCCTTGTACTTTTCAATCGTACCATCAGGTCTAAGCTTCTTCTTGAACACCCACTTACATCCTACAGGTTTGCACCCATAAGGACGGTCAGTGATCTCCCAGGTACCGTTAGCTAAGATGGAATCCATCTCGCTACGTACAGCTTCCTTCCAGTATTCAGCATCAGGAGATGCATAGGCTTCTAAAATAGTCCTGGGTGTGTCATCCACGAGGTACACAATGAAATCATCACCAAAAGACTTTGCAGTCCTCTGTCTCTTACTCCTCACAGGAGTTCCATTGTTACCCTCAACAGGATTCTCAACGTGTTCCATCGCAATGGTGGGTTCAGGAATTACAGTGAATTCCTCACTAGATGGAGTAGGTATCTCCTAATTTGATGAACTCGACATATCCTTCATAGTAAATATGTCCTCAAAGAAAGTTGCATTATTTGATTCCATAATCGTACCAACATGCATGTCGGATACCTCAGATTTTATTATCAAAAATCTATAGCCGATGCTATGAAAAGCATAGCCCAGAAGAACACAATCCACGGTTTTTGGTCCAAGCTTGCGCTTCTTGGGAATTGGTATATTGACTTTCGCGAAACAACCCCAAGTACATAGGTAAGAGAGTTTCAACCTTTTCCGTTCCCATTCCTCAAATGGAGTCATGGTCTTATGCTTTGTGGGAACTCGGTTTAGGACATGACACGCAGTCATTAGCGCCTCCCCCCACCATTCCTTGGATAGACCCGAAGTGTCTAACATGGTGTTAACCATATCAGTTAGAGTTCGGTTCTTTCTTTCGGCTACCCCATTTGACTGGGGTGAGTAGGGAGGCGTCCTCTCATGGATTATACCATGTTCCGCACAAAACAGATCAAATTCATTGGAAAAATACTCTCCACCACGATCGGACCTAAGCCATTTAATTTTTCGATCAAGTTGGTTCTCTGCCTCAGCTTTATAGTTTTTAAAGAAAGTCAAAGCCTCATATTTTGATTTTAGAAGATACACATAACAATATCTAGTGGAGTCATCAATCAACGTCATGAAGTATCTCTTTCCACCTTTTGTCAACACGCCATTCATCTCACAAAGATCAGAATGTGTAAGCTCTAGTGGCGCCAAGTCTCTTGCCTCTGCAGTCTTATGGGACTTGTGAGGTTGCTTAGCTTGCACACATACTTGGCACTTGGAGCCTTTGACAGTAGAGATTTTCGGAATTAAATTCATATTGGCTAACCGCGTCATGCAACCAAAGTTAATATGACAGAGTCGTGAATGCCAAATATCAGACTCATTATTGTGGCAAACATTATTAATAACTTTAGTGCTAATATCTGACAAAGATAGGCGGAACAAGCCTCCGCACTCATAGCCTTTTCCAACAAATTGTCCACACTTAGAAATTACAACTTTATTGGATTCGAAAACCAACTTAAAACCATCTCGACATAAACGGGAACTGCTAACGAGATTTTTATTGATGGACGACACATGATGAACGTTCTTCAGATGCACAGTCTTCCCCGAAGTAAACTTCAGATCGACCATACCAACACCTCGAACGATGGCATGTGACCTGTTCCCCATCAGCACGGGTGAAGTCCCTGTTGCCTTGTAAGAAGAAAACATGGAGGCGTCAGAACAAACATGTACATTGGCACCGGTGTC